GTGTACATTGAAAACAGAGGACAGAAGCTTCAGGAGGAGTCAGAGCTAGGAATGTATATTTGGTAACAATCTGCATACACATGTCATGCAAAGACCAGTGCAGAGAGGAAACATGGGATCAAGGGTAAAATCAGGGATTGGGAGACGGAATAAAACCCAGAGTGTGACCACAGAATGAGTAGTTAAGAGATGGAAGAAGCGGTCAGGAGGTAATTAAATGATGAGATTTGAAAAAAAAAAAAAACACATTTAGATTTGGTGATGAGGGTTACTTCACTGCTTTAAGAAATGTATAGGCTATAGGCTTTCTAATGAGACTTTTGGGAGTGACTGGAAAGTTTAGAGATGCAGGAATTGTGGTTTAGTGATGGGATTTTGTTGCTGTTGCTGTTGTTAGAATATGGGAGACAGGAGCATGTTTTAGGTCGGGACTCCCATGCTTCTGTTACATTCTTCCAAAGATATCCTTTTCAGAAATACTGCACCTGACAGTTATGCTCATAAAGAAAGCAGCTTAGAGGAAGCAGTGTAAAAGCAGAACCATGAGACATCCAGAAAGGTTGCCAAGGGCAAAATCACTTTTCCCCATGGGAGTCACCCTTCCAGACAATGGCTTTGCCCTCTAACACTACATCCCTCCAATCAGATCTGTCCCACACTGCATTGTCCTTGAGTAACAACCTTATTATGACTGTCATTTAAGGAGAATGTTATAGCCTAAAAGACTTTTAGTAGTAGATACTTCTGGATTTAAATCCTGACTGCACCATTGATAGGCTCTGAATCTCATTCCATATAGGTAAGGAGGCATCCATTTTGTGGGAAATTTCATTACCTTTTTTGTTTTCCATTTTCAACAACCTTTTTGAGGGGGTGCTTCAAAAACTTTGTAGTACAATGCAATGAAAGACAATAGATTTTTCCCATGAACTTTTTGAAGTCCTCTCGTACAGTACTATTTTTTAGAATAAAATGAAAAGAAATAAACCTAAATAAAAAGCCAGATGGATAGTAGTAGGCATTTAATAAACAGCCATCTTTGTTTTTACAGATGATGATGATGGTGGTGACAGTAACAGAAAGGCGAGATAAGGCCCAGAAAAGGAGGCTTTTAAGAGACTCAAGGACACAGGTATGGAGCACCATTATCTTTAAAAAGGCTCAGAGATCAGTTTTACTCTTAGAAGAGATGGACAGGAAAAAAAAAAATACACATATAGCTATTTAGAATATGGAAGAGAAAAGGAAGTGGTAATTGAATATGAAGAAATAAAAGTGGAAATAAGTTTCACTTAGAGAAGAGAAAAATAAAGTAAAAGGAAGTATTTAGGGTGTGGTTCATTTTGTTTCAAAAAGGTAGAAGGCATATTTCTAATACTGAAGAAGTATCCTCAGTCTCTAGGTATATTTTTCTCTTTCCCAAGCCCCCAAATCTTGTACTGACTTTCCCCTTCTAATTAAGAAATACCAAGGTTCTACTTCAGCTTCTATGTCACTGGCCCTCATTGTTTTGACATAGCTGATATTTCTTTCCTCCCCAAGGCTGTTTTTACCCCCTCACTTCCTCATGGCCACGCATTCCTGGTTCTTCACACACAATCTCACTTGAAGTTCTTAATGTTTTGAATGCTCCCTTATTTCTAACTCGTTAATGTTACTGTTTTCCAGTTGCATTCTTCTCATTCTATATGCTCCCCTGGAAGTCTCCTTCACATTGTAGATCTTACTATCAAATACAGGTTAAGATTCCCCAGTTATTATCTTCAACTTAGACTTTATGTCTGGGGCTGAGATTCATATAATCTCATCCATGTTCTGGATGGAGTCCTGGTGGGGCACAGCAGGATAATGCTCTGGACTATAATGCCAGTTTGAACCACAAGGCTGGTGGTCCAAACCCATCAGCTGCTCCTTAGAGACTCTATTCAGGGTTGCAATGGGTCAGAACAGACTCAATAGCACTTAACAACAACAACAACAGTGTCCTGATAAATCTCACTGGATGTCCACTACAAAACTTACTTTCAATAGTTTCAAAGCTGAACACAACATATTCCTACCTTAAGAAGTATATCTTCTATTCTCAAACTCAATGGTACATATTCCCATCTCCCCAGCCACCCAAGCTACTGTTCATATCCATTCCTAGTCACCAAAATGCAAAAATTTCTATCTCCTCCAGATTTGGACTTTATCTTCTGCTCTTAATACTGTTCCTACTAACTTTCCAGGACCAAGATTTCATTACTTTGCACTTGGGCTATGGCAATAGTTTTCTACTGGTTAGTTTGCCACCAGCACTGTCTCCTGAAGAATGACATCCCCACAACTGCCACCAGGCTTTAAAACAAAAATTGGACCCTGAACTTTTCTGCTTGTAATTCTACATGGCTCACCATACTCTATGAATCAACAGAATGAAGTCCAAGCTGTTTAACATACACACCTTGCATTGTTTGACCCATCTTATCTCTTGGTATGTCCTGCTCTGAATTTTAGTCTTCAGAAAGAAACACTGCCCATTCAGTCCTGTCCCATCCTCCTAGGTTTGAGCCCATTGTTCCAGCCATTGTATCAACCCATCTCCTTTAGAGTCTTCCTTTTTTTTTCTTTATTGTGAATTGAGTGAAGGTTTATAGACACAATCATCAGTTTTATATTCAACAAACAATACACTTCGTTTTATCTCAATGACTGCAATCCCCTCCATGGAATAACAGTTATCTCGCTTCCTCCCTGTGGTTCCCCTCTCCATTCCACCCACCTTTCCAATCCTTCACACCTTTGTCCTTAGGTCCATGCTGCCCTTTTGATTTTGATGACTGACCATTCCATCATTCATAGTGAGCATACCTTACTAGTGTTATTGTTCCCCTATATACCTATCTACTGCTTGACTGAAAGTTGGGCCACAAGGTTGAGTTCTTTTCCAGACCTGAAAGGTGGTTGAGGACCAAAGTCTCAAGTTCCTCCAATGTCTTTCTGACCAGAAAGTCCAGTCTTTTTAAATTTTTTTTTTTTAATAATTTTGATTTTTGTTCCACATATTCTATCACTCTACCCAGGACTTTCTAATGTGATCCCTTTCAGAGCACTTGGTAGTGGTAACTGGGCACCATCTAGTTCTTCTGGTCTCAGGATTATGGAGAGTTCACATGTTAGATTAATTGACTCCAAGCCTTTTCAATTCTCATCATTCTTATTTCTTCTACACATGGAGAGATCAATAGATGCACCTTAGATGGCCATTGATAAGCTTTTAATATCCAAGACACTACTCGCCAAAGTAGGATGTAGAACATTGTCTTTAACGCCAACTGATCATGATGTCCCAGAGACTATGGTCCTGATTCCCCAGGCCCAGCAACTGATTGCCTTAAGATGGTTGATAATGTCTAAGAAGTTTTCATCATTTTCTCCACTGTATGCTCTAATATATTCATAGTTGTGTTTGCAGGAAAGGTAAATGCTCATGTACCAATATTCTCTGCCAAGCTATTATATATCTGTGGGATACGTAACTATAAATATATATATACACACACACACACACACATATATATACCCCATTCTTCCTCCCATATATGGGCTTCCTCTTTTTCACTGATGCTGTACTTTACCAAGCATTATGTCCTTGTACATTTCCAAAGTTGTAACATGTCCAAAGTACTTCTCACCATCCTCACTTCTAAAAAACATTCTGGCTGTACTTCTTCCAATACAGAAATGTTTGTTCTTGTGTCAGTCCATGGCATAGTCAAGGTTCTTCACCAGCACCATAATTAAAAGGCATCAATTCTTCTGTGGTCTTCCTTATTCACTGTCCAGCTCTCCCAAGCATATGAGGCCATTGAAAATACCATGACTTGGATCAGGTACACCTAAGTCTTCAAAGTGATCTGTGACCCTGCTGGTACTTGAAATACCAGTGGCACGGCAACATGCAAGCTACCACAATACACCAAACTGAGAGACAGACAAGTGGCGGTAACACATTAAGTGACAGATGAATGCCCTGGGAGCAGGGTGTGGCTTGCCTGCATTTGTTTCTCTGGAGTTAGCACATAATTACGTGCTGTTACCTGGAACACTTCCAACTGTTGGAAGAATGTTGGAAAGATTTGGGGAAGTCAGGGAGGGGTATGAGACAGTCAACAAAAGGTGAACTAAGGAAGAAATTGGACTTATTCAGGTCCAGTACAAGTTATATTTTAAAGTGACACTCTTATGCTTGTTTTGTAACTTTTTTTCTAAAAGATTCTTCAGCCCATCACAGAGAAATGGGTGATGAGAGCACCCTGGAGCTAGTGAGGGGAGGGTTCCAAGGGGAGAGGAGGCAGTCTACAGAAACAATTGAGGACAGAAAGGGCTGATGTACAAGAGAGAGGGTGTGGAACTAAAGGGAATGATGGAAGCAATGAAACTGCTGGGTGGGTCTGAGAGAGCTGGTGATGAGGGCAGAGGACAGACAGTGTGTAATTGAGAAAGGGGGCAAGAAGGAGACCACGATGGGGAGAGAGGGAGGAAGGGTGGGAAAAGAGAAAGAGAGTAAGTTTGCTTAAAAGCTGAAAGGAGGCACGATTCAGAAATCAACATAGAGTCAGTTGATAGAAGTTCAAGTTTCTGGAAAAATCACCTGTGGATTTATAATCTAACAAAATAGATACAAAAACCAGGCTGATATTTAATTAATGTGTTGCCACAGTAAATTAAAAAACTTATTTGCCACTTTGTGGAAACTTTGGGCATTTTGTATCACATTCTGCAGTCAAAGTATCATATAAACTGCAGAAATAATGACAGCATAGGTTTGCCACATAATTCTTCGATCTATTTACAGAAGCAGAGAACTCTAGTCCAATGCTCAGTTACATAATCTGAATTTTGTCCTCAGTCTTCATTAATTTTTCCCCAAAAGCATTACAAATAAATGATTTGAACCCTTCCTTTCTGCTTAGTAGTATTTTTAACCATTATTTTAGTATCTTGAGGGCACTTACCACAAATAAAGCAGGTTGTCTTTAGAATTTCTTCTTTTTTTTGTTTTTCACTTCTGAGATCAGCAAAGGTATCGATGATAACACCAAAAATCAAGTTAAGAACAATAATGATGACAATGAAGAAAAACAGAAGGTCATAAACCACCCGAGCAGCAAACAAGGGCTCCTGAAAAATAAATTGAAAAAAAAAAATTGTGTGTGTATGTGTATATATGCTAAAGTGCCATCAAATCAGTGCAGGCTCATAACGACCTCGTATAGGGTTTCTGAAACTGGCTGGTGAATTTAAACTGCCAATCTTGCAATTACCAGTCCAGTACGCCAGGGCATATATATATACATACATAGCGTAAGGTCAGTTTGAACCACAAGGTTGACAGTTCAAATTTACCCGCTGCTCCTCAGAAACGCTATACAGAGTCTCTAAGAGTCAGAACTGACTCAACAGCACTTAACAACAACAAAAACATATATACAGTTATAGTTATCTATGTAAATATGCACACATACTTTCAAGACTTGTTGATTTAGTACTTTGTTTAGCCTAGAAGACATATGCAATAAATGCTTGCTAAATGAACATAAACAGGGTCGCTATGGGTCGGCACTGACTCGAAGGCACTTAACAACAACAACAACAACAAATGAACATAAAATAGTATTCCAAGTTTCAGATTCATTCAAATTTCATATTCAAACACTATCTTAGTTTTTCTTTTCTTTAGAAGTAATGAGAAGAACTTCTCATCCCTTTCTTAAGAACCCTTTCTTTTCTTCATGACTTACATAGTCCTTTTCCATTGGAAGGACCTACCTTTCATTAGCAACAACTTTCCTATGTCATTCTGCTGTATTTCCTTGCAGTGGTCCTTAGCCCAGAAACCACAGGAAAGGCACCAAAACACCAATTCTAGAGGTCAGCAATAAGAGAATGAAGGAGGACCTAATATTTTTTAATTTCTTTCTTGGCTTCATAGGGCCAAGTACATACAGCTCAACCTCTTTTCCATGACAAACAATATTAAAATACACATTGTTATGGTTATCATTTAATCCAGTTGTTTTATAGATGAGGGGCCTGAGGCAATGGAATGCTAGATGACTCAACAGCGTTATACAAGTAGCAGAATTGAGATTTTCAGAGCTCCTAGTTTGATGCTTGAGATTTTGCAGCTAGCGAGAACTTTTTCAGCCTTGCTATTTTAATATGTGAAATCCTATTAAAATTTGTTCAAATTTTATATTCATCATGGATAAATAATGGAAGTTATTCCTATCCAGAGCAGAGTAAATCTTCATGCCTGAGAAACCGGATAGACAAGTGGCAGCCTCGTTTCCGTTATTTATGTAATAATCAACCCCTATGCAAAGTTTGCAGTCATGAGTTCCTTGTAATGGAATACACAGATAAAGCCTGGGTAAATTACATAACTTTATTAACACTGGTGGCACTGTAGGATAAACACAGGACTGCTAACTGCAAAGCTGACAGTTCAAAGTCACCAGCCACTCTGAGAGAGAAAGCTGAGGCTGTCTGCTTCTGTAAAGATTTACAGTCTCAGAAATCCTACACAGGGTTGCTCTGAGTTGGAACCAACTCCATAGCAGAAGGCTGGGTACTTTTAGTATATTACCTGTTTCTTGGTAACCCCAGTGTACAATTAATTGCTTTTGGTAAGCACTATTATGGTTACCAATTGGGCTGCGAACCACAAGATTAGCAATTCGAAACTACCAGCTGTTCCGCGGGAGAAAGATGAGGCTTTCTGCTCCCGTAAAGATTTACAGCCTTGGAAACCCTTTACAGGGTCGCTCGCTATGAGTCGGAACCGACTCCACGGCATATAACAGCATTACACCTTTGGAGTCCTGATGTGGTGCTGTGGGTTAATGTACTAGACTGCAAAGTCAGTTTGAACCTCAAGATTGGCAGTTCAAGGTCACCAGACGCTTCTCCGAATCCCTATACAGGGTCACTATGGTAGGAACTGACTCGAAGGCACTTAACAATAACAACAAATTATACCTTTGGAGTCCTGGTGGTGGCGATGCTTGATAATATGCTGGACAGCAAGGTCAGTTTGAGCAAGCTGCAGGGTTGGCGATTCAAGTCCACCAGCTGCTCCTCGGAAACCCTATACAGGGCCACTATGAGTCGGAACTGACTTGATGGCACTTAACAACAACAACAATTATACATTTAAGTGGTGGTGGTTGGTGATTATGTGCCGTGGAGTCAGAAATGATATAATATATCACTGTGAACACAAAAACCATATTTTGAAAGGCTAAAAAAAAAAAAAAATGACTATGTGGTTCTTGAAAAAACACTTTTCATTCTACTTACATCTTTTGATGGTCTTCTCAGCACATCTCCCACACCTCCGCCATTCCTGAGACCCTGGTTCAAGACAGTGACAATGCACATAAGGAGAGTGTCACATGTCCTTTCAATTCCGTCTTCATATTCTTCATCACCTATCCAAGCATATAAACATGTAACAAACTTACATTTAATAAGTATATTATTATTCTATTTCCAAAGATATGTGTCTTTATAATGGTGCCATCATACATGATTTTGAGGTCACACAGCATATAGCAGCAGATGACTAACACATACAGATAAATCTCCACATGCAATGTCTAGAAATAATTTTTTTGTCTTTCATAGGTAGAAAATAAAATGAAAATGGCAAAAACATTTAAAAACCTAATATTCATTGTGCATATTACTGTGGTGCTGCAAAAAATGTGGTACCACCTCCTGAAAACACAAAACTCACCTGGACACAAAGGTACTGTAGGGGAAAGAATGTGAATGCAGGAAGGAGTCAGACAGACCTGGCTTCTAATTCTACTCAGCAGCCATATTGGGACTTGGAAAAATTACATAATCTTAATGCCTTCATCTGTGAAATGGGGAGAGTTGTTTAACAATTAAATTATTTATAGGTTTATTTAAGGCTTATGTTTAAGGTAACACTTTTTTACAGAGATTAGCACACACAAAGAGTGGTGAGCACATATTTGAACATATCCTATTATTTCATTATTTTGGATAAGTGTCTAAGTTTTCTTACTGGCCAACTTGTGGGTACTGATGAGAGGCACAAAGTATTCATGTATACAATTCTACTTGGAGAAAAAACAGGGAGAAAGAAAAAGATATGAGAGAAAAAATGCTATCTCCATTTAAAAAATTATTTTTAAAAAAATCCCTAGCTTCATTTTTTCTTAAGAAATTTATCAAGTTTGCAATGTAGTTTCCAAGCCATCTGAAATAGCAAAAAAGTTCACACTAATTTGTAATATTAGAGTAAGGATTTCCTAGTTTTGGCAAGAGAAAAGTAATGACGTTTTCTTGTTATAATGTTAATCAATCATGTTGTAGGTGTCTTGGTAGCACAGCAGGTTAAGCCTTGGGCTGTAACTGAAAGGTTGGGTGTTTGAAACCACCAGCTGCTCTACAGAAGAAAGAGGAAACAATCTGCTTTCATAAAAATGTACAACCTTGGAAACCCTATGGGTCAGTTCTACTCTACCTTTTAAGGTCACTGAGTCAGAATGAACTAGATGGCAGTTGGTTGGGCTAACCATCGTTGTTTTGCATTGCTGAGTCAATTCCAACTCATAGCAATGCTATATGACAGAGTACAACTGCTCTACAGGATTTCTTAGTTGCAAACTTTATGGGAACAGATCTCTAGGTCTTTTCTCCTGTAGAGCTGCCAGTGGATTCCAACTGCTGACCTTCTGGTTGCTAGCCAAGATTTAACCACTGAGCCACTAGGGCTTGGTATTAAACTTGGGGATTGTGTAGCCACACTCTGCATGTTAACATACATGTGCAAAAACTATAACCTATTTCTCTCTAAAACAAAAACAACTCAGTCTAATTTAGTCTACATGACCCAAGACTAAGTACATGTTTGGTATGTTGTTATGAAATGACTAATTTTCCTCTTCTGAGTTGATTCTATTTTAGTATCGCATGGATGAGGAGATCCTGAAATTTTTACTTTACTTGAAACTGTTCCTTTTAAAATATGTTGGCAAGTACCTCGAGCAGAAGACGGAGCTCAGAGATGGTCAAGAACAAAACGCAGCATCAAAGACCTCTGCTGGGGGTGGGAGGCAGAGTCTGTGCTTGACCACTTACCTTTGAGGAGAGCCCCAAGGCACATTCTGATTTAGAAAGTAGGAGAAATAAAACTCCTTTAGGAGGAAGGAGAAATGGGGAAGAGGTATGGCTTGTGGTGGTAGCAGTCAGAGCAGCAGTAGACAAGGAAGGCAGAGCAAGCAGTGGAGAAAGCTCAGGCTGGACCGTGCTTGTTAGGTTCCCAAAGCCCGGTGGTGCGTTCTAGCATGATGGCTAAGAAGGATGAGAGGAAAAATAGTTAGAAATGTGTAGGAAAGTTAAAAGAAAGTTTTAAGGTGATACATGGTCTTCGAATAATGAGGCCAACTGGAATATGTCTACATGGGGTTAGACTTTAAATCAAGATGATTATATATCTGGTGGCATGATCTGCATTCATCTATTCATTCAGCAACTACTAGTTCTTGTCACAAACGTGTATTAGAGACTAAGGGCCAGATTAATCAGTACATGGGAGCTTGAAGGTAGTGCTTCTACCTCTTCCCAAGAATTTGGACATGAAGCTGTTTGCTCTCTCAGAGGTGAGCGTGTAAAATCCACACACAATTCACAATGTGATTAGCTTGTGTGTGTGTGTGTGGGGGGGAACAGATTGGCTGCAAATGTATACTGAAAGAACTGGCTTTCTGTGTGGTCTGCAAAAAGAGAATGCCCGGGTCAGGTCAAAGCTGGCAACAGTTCAGTCGTCTTGCTCAAAAATAATCAGTATGCAGGCATGTTGGTTTGATATATTGGCTTCTATGAGTTTGGTTCATGCAGTTCCACTTGCACAATGTTATGCCAAGTTCCCAAGCCTTCAAGTTAAAAAGCCCGTCTCTGAGTCATGGTCAATTCATCAAAGTAAATACCACCTTGTAGAGACCTACCTGCACAATCAGCTGCCTTTCCCTAAGCCACCCTTGCCTTATTTTACTACACGAACTGCCAAGGTCAGGTACCTGGAACACAGGCAGACATGATGAAACTGTGCTAGTCCCTAGAAACTTAGGGTCCACTAGGAAAAACTATACAGCAGACGGACAAAGATCGTGCAGTATTGCTACGTGTCATGAAGGCATGGTGGAAGTGCTTCTCACAGGCAGGGCACCAGGCACAGTGTCCTGAGTTGAGTCTTGTAAGGAGGGCATGCTTAGCCAGTAAGTTAGTGAGGTAAGACATGCCAGACTGATAAAATGGAATGTGCAAAGGCAAACAGGTATACCACTGCATGGGGTATTTGTGGGACTGCAGGCATATTGCAATGGCTCGAGCTTTGCTGTATGCAGAAAAGTGGTGAGAGGAAAAGCAGGTAGGGTCCAGGCCATGGACTGCTTCATAGATCAAGCTGAAGACTTTACACTTTATCCTGAAAACTATGGAGAACCACTGGAGAATTGTAAACAGACAAGTTGGTGCATTCCCTGTTGTTAGATGCTGTCAAATCAGCCAGCTCATGGCAATCCCACGCACAATGGGATCTAACTGTTGTGCTCCATAGAGTTTTCACTGGCTGATAGTTTGAAATTAGATTGTCAGGACTTTCTTTCTAGTCGCTCTTTCTGCTGAAATTTGTTCAACATCAGAGCAACACACAAGTTTCTACTGACACTGGTACAGGTTTTGCTTAAAGTTCATTGTTTGGAAATCGAGTTAGGATCTCTCTCCTAGAGGAAAATAATTATCCCATACACCCACCATTGCCCACCTCTCCTTTACCATCTAGTTGGTGAAACAGTAAAAGATAAACCACATATTTAAGTATGAAGACAAATTAAAACATACATGATGAAATCCACAGTTCAATATTAAAAATAGTTGGAGGGGAGTAGACATTGAGTTCAGTCTTGAATATTCAGTAGCTTAAGATCAGAGTAGAATAGCATTTCACATGGCAGAACAGAAGTAGAATGAGACATGCTTACATATTAAACAGAAAATAATCCAGTATGCATGCATGAGAAGAGTGGAAGATAAAGCTGGAGAGATCAACTAAGAACTTACTGTGAAGTTCTAAAGAGCTTGGATTTTACTCAGAAGGCAATGAAGCATCATGAAAAACTTGAATTGTGGTTAGGGGAGGATATCTTCAAAGCAGTGACTCTGACAAGTAGTACAGCAATGATATACTGGACAAATTGAACAGAAGAGAATGACTGGAGGTAGAAAGACCACTTAGGAGGCAATTGCAATAATTCAGGCATGATGGGCTATGAGCCCCACAATCAGGGTAATGACAGTGAGACTGTAAAGGGTGAGAGAGACAATGCAAGGGATGAATGACCAGGAGCTGATGGGGCTTTAGGCATAAAGGAGAATGCAGCATTAAATGTTATGCTGAGGCTGCCAGCCGCGGATGACTTGAGAAAAGGATGACTCCATTAGACCATAGAAATAGACAATTTAGAAGGAAGAACTGTATTTAGGGTGTTTTGATGAAGACAAGGAGAGATTCGCAGAAGTTTTTTTTGTTGTTGTTTATCAGGTAAGAAGATGAGAAGGTACTTTAAAAAGTCAGAGGAGACAGAGAGCTGGGAGAGAACTATGATGAAAAATTAAAGAAGAAAATAACTTAATACTTTCCACACCAATTTATGTTCTGCTTTGAGCTCTTTGTTGAAAACCATGTGTTTTCAGCATCGCAAAATAATAATAATAATAAATAAATAAATAAATAATTGAGGTAATAATGGATTTTGATACAAGTCATGGGACACATATATCCCAAGGGGTTTCTAGTGCTGGGGCTGGTGGGATGAGGCCCATTTCTTCAGATTCATGCAGTAATACAGGCCTTCACTAGATGGCAGCATGCACTAAAAGTGGGATAGCAGCTTCCCACTAAATACAAGGTGAAAGAGTCACAGATGGGTTAAAGATGGAGATGGTGTCAAGAAATGTCAACATTACAAAACAATCAAAGGCAATGAAAAACAAGAAAAGGTCACGGGTTTACCAATTTGGTCCTCAGATAGCTAGATGAAGATGGTAAGACATTAAGGGGAAGATTCCAGTGCAGGAACTGAAGGAAGGAGAATAGGTCAATTGTTTGATAGGAAAATTGGGTTCTGAAAGGAAAGAGACTGATAGGCTATTAGTTTGGAGGGATAGCAGTGGCTCAGTGGTAGCATTCCTGCCTTCCCTGAGGGGGACCTGGGTGTGATTCCCAACACCTGGAGGCTCTAGTGTTGCTCTGATGCTAAACAGATTTCAGTGGCGCTTCCAGACTAAGACAGACTAAGAAAAAGGCCTACAGATGTACTTTCAAAAATCAGGTAATGAAAACCCTTAGAGTCCCAAGGGTCGGATCAATCCCCAATTGATCCTGTGGATGGTGCAA